GGTCTCATGGCAGCATGCAAAAGTAACAGGAGCACCGTGAACAGTTTCCTCTTCTCATATGAGCTCTTGAGGAAGAAAATCTTCTAAGTGTATAACTGCATTTTATAAGGAACTTATGTTGCCTTACCAGTATTATTATGAACTGTTAAAATGGCTGTGCAGAACCACTAAACTATTCTGTTGTAATTTTTGTTTATTTTGTATATACTCTTGAGCACTGACACTGAGAAAGAAAATGGTCCCAGTTCTTAGTAAGCTAATGGTCTGAAGCAATTTTAACACTGAGCCAAACTGGGAAAGAAAACTTGAGTGATACAGAAAAACTAATTGTGTTGTTCCTGAATTGAAACTAACAATATAATTTGCATATGGCTGCAGAGAGACAGGCAAGAGTCATGTCTTAGTTAGAAGTCTCCTAGCATCTTATTTGCTTAACTCGCAGTAACAGCTATCCGAAGTAAAGATGCTTTGTGAGACCAGGAAACCACTGACAGAACATGATTTTATAAGTGCCATTTAATTCATGATAAAAAAATCAAATAAATAAATAAAATGCTTAATTGATTCTTTTGGCTCAGCTGGGAGGCTTAGCAATGTATCTAAGTCAGGTATGGAAGCTAAGAACAGTTAGGATATAATGAATCTGTAGTAGGGGTCTGTAGAAGTAAATGTTAGCATATAGGTTCCACAAAAATACGTTTAACAAGTAATTCTGCACATTAAACGAGTTCTTGTTGGAGAAAATGTCTTTTCATTCAGGTCTGTCTCCTACCTTCCACAGGTACCAGCAGTTTATCTAGGAAAAGCAGCTTCAGTTCTTTTTTCCCAAAATTACAGTTGAGGAATTTAACAAAAAGACAGTGGTATATGAAGCTGATTGAACTATACATTGGTCTGCTTAAATCTAAGGAATTGCAATTGGAATAAGCCTCAATAGGCTTGTTACTATCTTGTGCTTTAAAAGCTTTCCTCTCAAAAAATGGCATTCACAGCTATTCTAAAAAGCACAGGACACTTGCCTCAGCAATTAGTGGCATGAAAAATACCTTTTGTTTGTGAGTTTGCTTTGTTTTGTAAATAGATTTTTGTGTAGCTGACTACCAGAAGAAAAATAAATGGTTCCTTGTGTAAAAAATGCAGTTCTGCAATATTTGTACTCCAATCATTATTACTATAGTTACTGTAATGATTTATGAAACAGGAGTTAAAGTTTACTGTAAGGATTGCATATACCTGGTACTGGTATACTTGGGTTGCTTTAAACAAGGCTGCAATTAAATCTATTGTAATTTTTCCAGTTAAAGTAGAGGAGAGTAGTACCACCTTTGAGATTTTCTGCTGCTGGATCTAAACTCTTTGGAAAAGGCTGGATTGGTTTTGGGGAACAGAGGCAGAGCTAAGAGGTCAAAAATAACTAAACTTAGCAGACAAAGTAAATGTTTTCATTTGAAGAAGACACACATATTTTGTCACATGAAGGGATTTGTCAATGAATTTTTAATCAAAACTGTTTATATTTGGTTTCTTTTCTGGATGATTAAATCAATAGCACTGCCATAATTTCTGTGTTTACTTTCACCTACTAATGATTAAGACAAAGAAATTCTAGATGTCAAATGAAACCTAATTGTAAAGCATTTTCTAAATTCTGCAAAGTACATTTTTTAGCTGGGACCAAGACTTTTGTTCATATTTTAAAATAAAGTACGCTTTACATTCTTAGTCTTGGAAAAATAATTTTGTTTTAAAAATGAAATAATTCATTTAAGTTGTGTTTAATTTGAATACAAAAGCAGAAGCAGACTGTTCAAAATGTATAAAGTTTATTCAAGAACTCAGTTTCCAATTCTTGCAATTTCCTTTTGCATAAAGCTATATATAGATAGACAAATGCAACTACTAAAGGACTGTGAAATGGAAAAAAAAGGCTTGTGTTTGGGCAATCACCAGTGAAGTTTTTCTACTATTTTTCCACTGTGTAACAATTGCAACCAGTTGCAAGAAGTGCTGTAAATAATTTTTTGAGGGAGTAAATATGCAAACAAACCAGTTCACTGTGCTGGTAGTGATTTTTTTTCTCTTCATTTGGATAATACTTTTGGAAATAAACTAGAGAACTGCATACTCTCAGTTCCCTGTGCCATAATTTTCTGTTACTCTAACTATTTACTGAAGTTTGTTTCAAGTAGAAACAAAAAGTATTACAGAGGGATAGACATCCATATGGAATAACAGAAATTATAATTTAGCGATGTATTAACTACCTCGAGATTAAAAGTAATTCAGATTGTAGCATCAGCTGATCACACTTTGGTAATTTTAGCATAATTTTTGTTTCTCTACTAACCATACCTAAAAGAAAAAAAATAGTCAGTGACAAGATCTCACCAGTCATGCTTTAAAAAATGTGCACAACTTCTATACTGGAACAATACTTCTGATGTCAGTGTTGTAGCATAATGAAAGGAATAATTAAATTTAAGCAATGAAAAGGATCACATTGGTGGTTTGGGTGATGGCAGTGTTGAGGGTACAGAAGACTTCTTTAGGTTTTGGTACTACTCAGAGGATTCTGAATAGAACCTGTGGATAGTACCTCAGTAGGATTCTGAGTGCCTGTGAACTGAAGCAAGTTCAGAAGATTTATCTTCACAAGAAAGGTGGTAGTTACTGCAGTGTCTAAATGAAGTGCCATCATGCTTAAGAGTGTTACCAGTCAGGGGACTGCACCCTGATTTTCACAGCTCTTTAGGGGTCAGGTTATTCTTGCCCAGAAAGCTTCAGTGCAATCCTCTGCTGTGAATTAACTGGCAAATCACATTTGAAAATGTGTCTCCAAAACAAAAGCTTAAAAATGTATAACTTAAAAGTGAAGTACTTCTATTGCCAGCCAAAGAAGCAGATTGTAACTATTTTGCAGGATCTGGCTAATATTTAGGGGCTAGATTAGGTGAATGATTTATTTGATACTCCATGGAAGTGGGCATATGTTCCTTGATTTCAGAGCAATGGCTGAAATTCCTAAGGACTCGAGTCCCAGTTTTCCTGTTAATACTACACCTGTAAGAGATTGACATTGCGGTTCTCTAAGTTACTTGTAGCAGCAGGTTTTAGGTATCTGGCACATGCAAGGGTATTTGCTGACCTTTATTTTAGTACTCATACTTTCTAGCCAGTGAGTAAGCTAAGTCTGCTTGGATTTTGGTTTGTAAAAGCTTGTGCATGGAGCTGGAACCACTTAAACTGACTTTAAAGATGTAATACTGAAGATGTATTTCTGTTAAAGTGTGCCTCAGCTGAGGGCTTAGATGTAGAGACAGTTATAGTCAAGAGATACAGATGTGGAGATAAACATTTCTCTCCTTATGCCCAATAGCCTTGGACTCACTCCTGAAGACAGGAGTGAGTGAGTGAGCCTAAGCCCGAGAAATTGGAATTCCAGATATGGAAGATGTGTGGCTTCCTACTTCTCCTTTAGGCAGTGTAACAGCAATTGGAGCACTCTCCAGATAACGTGTGAAACCTTGCTTCACTCGCTTAAGCTCACCTTAAGTGTTTCCTACTTGTGCTACTGAAGCTCTTTGAGTTTGCTCTAATTGCTGAGGGCTCCTGCTGCTGCTGGATCCTGCTACTGAAGGGCAGTTTCAGTTCTGTACATCAGACTCTTGGAGAAATTGCAAAGGCAGCCCACGAGGCAGGGACTGCCCTGGGCGTTACCACAGTGATAGTGGACAATGTCAACAGGAGACTCTTTCTCAGGCTTTTGTGTGTACCTGGGGATCTCATCCAAGTGTTGGTTTTCTTCCTTTGCTCACCAGAGCTAAAGTTTAAAAAAAGTTATTAGTTATTTTGTCCTGATTCTTCTGTTTGAAAGATGATGATTAATTTTCTTCCAAAAGGTGGATATTGGTGGTTTGCTAACACTATGGGTTAAAATCCTTCTGTAAATAGACACCAAGGCACTATGTGATAGCTCCTTCCTGGATAATAAGATCATGAAGTATATACAAAACAGCATCAAAGGAATTAAAAACCCATGTTTAAACAACAGACTACTAAATACGAATCTTGCTACCCAGAGGTGATCAAACAATTTATTTGTGTTCAGTGCAATTCTGTACAGGGGAATGGGTCTGCAGTTGTGTTTCTTTACAAGGCCAATAAACGGTTTGTCAGCTCTGGTGAGCATTTATTCATATCCAAAGTCCTAATGTAAAAAATAGTAACAGTTTTACTCTCTCTGTTTGTGACTGAGTCCCAGTCTGACAGGACCAGAAATACCAGTCAACATATGCAGGTGGAAATGAAATACTCCTCTTAACTGAAATCTGTGGGCAGCATAAAAGGACTTTTTTCCCACTGCCCAAATAGTTTCTTGTGTCAGACAATCTGAAGCCAAATTTTTTTTCCTTTTTACTAGTCCAGCTGGCACAACAGATTGCCTCGTTGAATTAGCATGTCCTAAAATAAAAAAGGATTTAAATGAATATGATGGTACAGGCAGTAGAACAAACAATTGCTATTATAAAATATACTAACATATTTCTCTGTTGTATAGTGAATGGATTTGAGACACAGAGAGGCCTTCATGGCTTCTGCAGCTTTTTGCATTAGTTATTTTTATAGGAATCTCAGTAAGAAGCAAATCAGCATATGTGTTGCCAAATTAAAATAGAAAGCGATTAGCAAATTAACATCTTTTACACAGAACTTATACAAATACCGCACTTTTCTATCTTGTGTTATTGCAAGAACAAAATTGCATAGACCATTTGCTGGCACTTTCTGAATTCTCCAAATAATGCTTTGTCTTACAAATAATTCAAGTAGTTCCCTCAATTTAATTTCACCCACTAATACAGTAAGTGTTTGCATGTAGTGAGAGGAAAAACCCACGATCTCAGAAATGTGAACAATGACATAATCATCTGACTGAATAATAGTTCAGCAAGGAAACATATTTGTTTTATTTTTTTATGCTCTCTGTAAGGCTGTTTGAAATGTCATTTGTGCTCTTCTTCTTCCCCTTACACCCTGTATTCCAGAATTATAGATGCAGATTTGTTTCCTAAATTGTAAGTACTTTGTTTTTAAAATGCTGAAAAATATGCTTTCATTTCAGTGATGCTCTTTAGGGGTAATCCAAAACTCAGCTGCGCAAGGGGGTGTGCGGGCCTTTCCGGGTGCCTCACTGGCAGACTCGGCTGTATTCTTGGCAAGTGGAGCCCACGCCGGCCACTGACAAGTAGAGCTTTCCATCTGGACACACACAGATTTCATAGAGCCCCTGAGAAATCCCAGATCCACCCCTTGCACCCTCAGGCAGCTTGGGCAGTCGCACGGTTTCAGCATCGAGCAAAAGCTGCGTGGGAAACAGCAGGACAAATGGGGTTGTTAGAGGTAATAAAGCAATAAATAATGTGCCATGAGATGAGTTGAATTTGGCTAGGCAGAGGTTTAAGAATGGCCTTTTACATAGGGCTTGTTATGTACAAAGTTTCTCTGAGCCTTGGGCTCTTGGCAGACATAAACACAGGACAGGAATAAGCTGATGCCCACCCTCCTCTTAGCAGGGAACTCTTGAGGTTCAACAAGGCCAAGGGCAATGTCCTGCACCTGTGTTGGGGCAATCCCCAAAATGGATACAAGCAGGGTGATGAATGGATTGAGGGAAGCCCTGAGGGGAAAGATGTGGGGGTATTGATGGATGAAAACCTATGTGGTATCCAGCTCTGGGGCCCCCAACGTAAGAAAGACATGGGCCTGCTGAAATGAGTTCAGAGGAGGGACATAAAGATGCTCAGAGGGATGGAGCACCTCTCCTATGAGGAAAGGCTGAGAGAATTGGGATTGTTCAGCATGGAGAAGAGAATGGCTCTGGGGAGACCTCACTGCAGCCTTCAAGTACTTAAAGGGAGCCTACATGAAAGCTGGGGAGGGACCCTTTATCAGGGATACTGGTTTTAAACTGAAAGAAGATAGATCTAGATTTGATTTAAAAAATAATTTCTTTCAGTGGTGAGGCACAGAACAGGCTGCCCAGAGAAACTGTGGATACCCCATTGCTGGAAGTGTTCAAGGCCAGATTGGATTGAGCTCTGAGTAGCTTGGTCTAGTTGAAGGTGTCCCTGTCTGTGGCAGGGGAAGTTGGACTGGATGATCTTTAAGGTTCCTTCCAGCACAGTTCAGTCTGTGATTCTAGGCTAGGTGGCCATGCATAGAGCAGCAGGAGGATGGATGTGGATTGGTGTGGAGTGCCTCTGGAAGAACAGCACAGCCTTGTAGAGGGGATAAATAGGCCACTGCATGTTGCCTGCTGTTAATGATGTCTGTAGAGCTTCACTCCTTAATTTTGCCACTTGGGGGCTGCATCTGCTTCTGAGCCAAGGTTCTCCACGGGGGTGCCTGGGAACCACTGTGCTAATGGGGAGCTAAGCTGTATCCAAGCTTCATTAGAAAGCATTTCTCTAAGCTAATACAACTTCATGTCTGTTGGTAGTATTATTTACATAAATAAGAGTTTTATTATTGGCACTATTAATTTTTATATACTGCCATCTAAAACCTGAATTAAATTAACAGAGCTTGAAAAAAAGACTTGTAGTCACACAGTGGATCAATCACAGTTAGGATTGCACAGAAGGGCTTGCACTCACCACGCCATCACTGCTGTGTAGTTTGATATCCATCTGGGAAAGAGCTTCAATATTCCCAGCTTGTGCTTTGATATTAATTCCTCTTGGTGCATCCATGCTCAAAGATCGAGTTGGTGATTCCAGCCTAAAAGCAGGAGCAGGAAATCAGACAGTAGCACAACCTCATATGTTCCTTTATTTTAGAAAAATAAGTAAATATTGAAAAAGCCCTTGCAGGCTCTAGCCTGAAATAATATAAAATATGCAACTTCCCTTTTCTTTAGGCAGACTTGAAAAAGGAGGCAGCTATTTCAGAAACCAACAAAGCATCCCAAATGAAAAGTATAGATTAATTTCTAATACAAATCCAAGGTATTATTTCATACATAGCTGCAGATTATTTCAGTATTACAGTAACTTAATCTATTAACCTGAAACCCAGATTTACACTAGTTAGTTTCAGTTTGTTTTCATTTTTGACATAATAAGACATGGAAATAAATACAATTAATACAGTCTGGAACTTTTTTTTAATCAATGAGATTTTTGACACTGCAATTAATTGGACCAAGATTTCACTGTGTGTGTGTGTTTGTGTGTGTGTGTGTGTGTGTTGTTTAACTAGATGACATCTGAGACTTAAAAACTGTTAATTTGAAATAAAAATTATACAGTGTAACAAACAGGGAGTTTCAAACCCTGCAGTGCCACAAGATGGCAGAAAGGCACTGTATTATCTGAGTAATCTCCTTGTCAGATCAGCAGTGCAGGAATAATGATTTGTATTTTTCAAAGAGATAAGGCTATGTTTCTTCAGAATTTTGGTGTCATTTCCATGCTAAGTAGCAGGGATAGAAGTACTAATTAAAAATCACGAGAAGGAAAGAAAAACCCCTATCCTGGCAACAAGTTAGTGATTATATTGCTTCTTTTGACCATTACCTAGAACTGCTTCATCTGGAGGCATGGAAGGATCAGAATTGATACCTATTAGGTTTTGATCATGAATATACACTCACCCTTCCAGATGACATTAGCCAGCACTAAACAGGTGAATATGAAGGCTAGAGAAAGGGAGACAACTGGTGGTCCCTGTTTACATCTCTGCTAGCTTTCCTATTCCCTGGACACATACCAAAGAATGTGGGTTGCATCCACACTGCAGAACACAGACACACTTGTTCCCAAGCCTGCATGCTCTCAGCCACTGTTTTCTGTATGTAAAGGAAGAAATGTAGGGGGTTGTGTGTGTGTGTGTGTGTGCATGCACTCCCAGCAGGTGCTGTTGTCTCCATGGGTGCTCCACAGGTGCCAGTCTGGCTGAGTTGAAGCTGGGCCCAAGCGGGTTCTTCACTGGGAATGCATTCTGTAGTGAGTCCAGACTCGGACTGCCAGTCATTGGCAGGAACTAGCTGCCTAATTTACTGAGACTCTTTCAATTCTTCCTTTTCTTTTTGTTTTCCTGTTACTTCATTAAAACCAGAACATAAAAGAGTTTGTTCTTGTGAGAAAGTTCAGTTGTATCTTCGAATTCTGAAGAAGTTAAATCCAGCTGATAACTTAAAACCTAAATCCATGATATCTAAGCACAGTCACTGAAACTACATTTTTTATCCTCAAATCTGAAAATAACTCAAGCAATATTGGCTTATCACTGCTGGCCAGAGTTAGCAGAAGATTCTATCTTCTCTGATCTTCAAAGGTCCCTTCCAACCCAAACCATTCTATGACTTTATGTTTCTATGATCTGCCTTTCTGTGACACCTCCTGGGTTCATCACCTTCAATTAGTTTAAATTCCAGCCTGATAAATAAAATAAAATAAAATAAAATAAAATAAAATAAAATAAAATAAAATAAAATAAAATAAAATAAAATACTAACAATGGGTAAATGCATCATGACACCATACTGAGACCATATCCAAAATATAATTTCATGCTTCATTCCATGAATCTGAGACAGCACAAACTTCTGTCATGATCATGCTGTGTAGCAGGGCATGAGTATGAGTTTGTTCTGCATCAGACAACCAGTATAGTATTAGTAATCTTTATTAAGCAGTGTTTGGAATTTAACAACTTCTGTATGAATTTTTGCTTTAGATCTCTAGATTTATACTCTGTGAAATAAAAAACCAGTTCTTCCAAATGTGATTAATGTGGGTGATCTGCTTCATGGGAATATTTTACAGCACACATTTGTATGCATTATATACTGAACAGTTAAGCAGAGTTTGTATTTTCAATTTTTTAAATTTAATATATTTTCATAAGTTAGTGTCAAGATTGTAAAGTATTTCACCTACATAAGCAAACTATATATGTAGGTATAAATTTTTATTTTTAAACTCCATTGAATACTAGAAGACAGAAGACTGGGACAAATTTCTGAGAGTATATCAGACCTGGAATTTAAAAAGCAATCAAACACAAGAGAAATATTTCTTACTTTCTACAAAAATTAATGCTGGCACGAAGCCTACAGACTTCGGAAGCACTTAGATTTATGATATGACATACACATAATTTAAATTACATTGCAGAATTACATTTGCTATATTAATCACAAACCTAAATTTCTGCTGTTTATACAGGTCCTATTTCTAGATTAACTCAGCCTGGATTTGCCTAATTAAGCACGTCATTGAAGCTTCCTGGCAATGCAAACTGCCGTGAATCAGTGATGTGAACTGTAATATATGAGATTCTAGCAAAGGCAAGAGTCAATAACAGTAATGACGCATTTCTCCGTACAGTATTCAAAGGTTCGGTGTCTGAAGCCCAGATGTACTCAAAGGGAAATGGGCACCTGGTGTAGAAAGAGCCTGAGCTGAACCTTGACTTTGAATGTCCCTTCTCAGTCCCCACATTGATGTGCACTCCTCATTATCAGGTGTCCTGGCAAAATAAGAATTCAGTTTGTTTGTGAATGATGGAAGGCTGCTTGGAGAGTAAGAGGGAAGAAATTAATTAATTGTCTTAGAGTTTTTGGACACTTTATAGTGTTTGAATTTATGCATTAGAATGATGACAGAATATATTGTTACCAGTCACTTTCTATTTTTTTTTAAACTTACAGACATGTAAATTATATTTAAGAGGATAAAGTAAATGTTCTTTACCATCTAGGGCAATTAATCTATGTAATGTGCTGTCCTAAATGTGACATCTGTCACAGCCTCTATTTCACTTGAGAAGATGGATTCTGTACTTATGAGTAGCTTCTAGGTACTGTGGTAGCTTGCCAGGGTCAATTAGTAAGGGGTGTGGTGCAAGAGAAATTGATCTGGACAGCACAACATTTGATGCCAAGGACCTGACAGCCCATTCTGTGTCCTGAGGAGTACTCTGGACTAGCTGTTGCCAACTGGATGCCCAGAAAGGCTGGAACAACAACAGGTGTTCTCGGAGAGATCACAGCTTTCAGATCAGTTTAACACAAATGACACCCTGTCCATGTACCCCAAACTGCACAAAAACTCCACAATGAAAACCAGGAAGAGGAGAGCTCAGCCCACTGTGAGATTTCCCTCAAAAGCATGTCCTAATTAATGTTTGGATTAAGACACTCAAGTAGACATACCCACAGATTGTAAGGCAGTGAAAGCCGCACCTGGGCCCACTTGTGGAATAGTTACTTTGCCTTGCTCCCCTTCACCGTGATGCCTGCAGCCTGAGAAGCTGCACCATGTCAGCTCATGACAGCCAGGGAAGGGTGGGGGAATAGGTGGTCCCAGGTAATATTTTACAGCTGTCATTTGCTGGATATTGGTTCTCCACAGCCCATTGCAACTAAAGCAATTGATTACAGCAAAGATAATATTTTCATTGCTGTCTTCTTACTTGTTGGTAAGAGTTCCAGGAGTCAACTATACTGTCTTGTCTGGCTGCCAAAGAAATTTGGTGCTGAGCTGTGCTAAATAATTCATGAAGTGTGAAAAATATTCTGAGGCAACCTCAACAGTATCCAGGCTCTGGATCTGAAACCATCCCAACAACCTAAAAGCTTGGAGATTTCCCTTTTCCTATAAGCATGTTGCTAACTTGTGGAGATGCCAGATCACCAGAAGTTGCTCATTTGGCTGTTAGGGAGGATGTGAGGGCAGTGACAGCCTGCAGCAGTTCTGGTAAAGAAGCAGATGACACTGCCTGTGCATGCTGCAGTAATATTGATCTCCTTTTTCATCCTAGTCTGGCAGGAGCCAGAAGGATACCCTAGAGATCGTGTAAGTACCACAAGGCATTAGAAAGCTGGTTCCAGCACTGAAGAAAGAGTATCACAAGTTTCCTACTGCAGTTTGTGGTTGCTTGACCCTTAGAGTAGGACAGAGGAACCAGCTTGCTCTGGAGCAATTGTTTACCCTTGCCTTCTGACCTTTCCAGATCATGACTCATGGTCTTTTCTGAATTCAAGGGGAAGAGAATTCCGTGGTATGACCTTAGATACAAGTTGCCCATCTGTATGCATTCTTTCCAGCACCTATCTGAGGAAGATCAGGGTTACTTTAGCTAGACTGAACAAGTCCAGGATCAACACTACCTCTAATATTGTAGTGCACCCAACAACTGTGCTAAAAGTGTCCATGGTCAGGATGGACAGGGCCTTGAGCAACGTGGTCTTGTGGAAGGTGTACCTGCTCATGACAGGGGGTTGGAACTAGATGACCTTTAAGGACCCTTGCAACCCAAACCATTTTGTGATTCTATAATCAAAACATCTTTTTCACATCATCAGGTAAGTAAGAGACCCTCATATATCTTTGGCGTGCAAAAAAAAATCCTGACATGAACACCTGCCCCAAAGTTCATCTGACTTTGTGAAGGTTAAAGGGGAACAGAAATTAAATTATACAATGACTAGAGGTCATGGAGCAAAGGATGAATAGAAAAGGCAAGAAATGAAGAGGAAAACGAAACCAAACACATGAGGGAAAAAGGGGAAAAAAGAAAATCTTTAACCTGTCAAGGTACTAATGTTTTGAAAGGCAAAAAGGCAACCTAGAGGATTCTGTAGGCTTAATTGGCCTTGGTTCTCTGTAGATGTAGATGCTTTGAGCCCTGCTTTTCGAATGCACATTAACCTTTAAAAGGCAATAGGAGTATATTGACTTTTTGATTAGTCTGAAGGTGGTCTAATTCCCCAG